CAACATTTTTACCTCATAGAAGCTAGATTCTGGAAGACTCTTCTCCATACTAAGAAAGTCATGACTGCTGGTCCATTAAATAAAAGATGACGGCAAACTTGTCAAAGTTCACATGAGCGTGACGGGCAAAACGTTTCCTAGCTGGAATCGCTCTCAGAAAATTCATACCCATTAATTGATAATTTTTTTGCCAATCACATTTTTTACATCCTTATTGTCAGCAATTACTAAAAACTATACCAATAATTGAATTGTTATAGACAACCCCATGGCTGTCTGTGAACGGTTCTTACGGTGTGTACGGGCGACTATTACGAATCAGACACGTCCGCGTACGGCGAAATGATATTCGCATTGACCGTAACCTTCGATGTTCTTATCAATACTACTGCGATTTTTACTAATTCAAAAAAGAAATTCAAATTCAAATTCAAATTATCAAGATTAATGGAAATACGATTTTTATGCTATCGCTTTTTTGAAACGTACTAAAAATGAAACTAAAATTAAATACAAATAACACACGAATATTGAAATTGAAAGCTTATTTATTAATTGGGCACACAAAGCATGAAACAATAAATAAAATTTTCCAACATAACATTTATGCCGAATATTATGATAGAATATTTTTTTATGTTTCATTTAGCAGCACCAGATTAAGTTAATATCAGATTATAAAGAAATGTCAGATGTCAGTTGGTACAGAAGTGTCAAGGAGAGAGAAAAAAAATAAAAAGACACCATTGTGCTTTGAATAAAAAATTAAGATTTACCATTAATTTCTTTATTTCCACATTTATTTTCTAACTCTTTAATGTAGATTTGTTAAATAATAAACATGCAATCGTTATAAACTCCCGTAGCACGATTCAAAAGAGTACCTTAAATAGATTGATATTTCTACATCCGTCAGCGATCGGCTTCAAGGTCTAAAACCCGAAATTACAATAAAATCGATCCGGGAAATGAACTAACTACGTCACTGATCCGGACTTCAATCTCTTTTGCTTAGAAGTTAAACTAGGAAGTCATTTTAGCTGTTAAAACAGTGATTATTATTTTTACGATTTATGGGCGGTTAAACAGGAACTTAGAATACCGGAATGAAAATATCTTTGCAATTATCTCTTGTAGGTGCATGTTAATTATTTGAGATTAGAGGATGAGCTCATGCCCCACCTAATGCTAAGCGGTTACCAGAGCCTATAAAAACCAACAACGTAAATGCCACCACCACAGACATGATTTCTAAGTTTCAGTTTTGCGATATAATGGCGGCCTGACCCTTCAAACCGTATGCATAGCCTGAATACCATTGCCCCAATGTCTTTTAGTATGTCCGATTAGTCTACTAAATCCATATCCATCCTCCTCCTTACGTCGTGTTCCTTAGCGCCAGGGACCGTGAATTTTACAGAGCCCTTCTTTTTGGACTATGTTCCTCCATTCCTTTCTGTCCTCTGTGCAGTTGATAGCGTCTTTGACCCATATCCATATAAACCTTTAAAACAGCTGCAAAGTTAATCAGGGTAATGGTACGTAGCCGTTTTTTTACACTTTTTTAGGATTGAAGGATTACTGGTGGCCCGGAAGCCTTTCTAGTTTCACCAGGATAGGTGGGGGTACATAGCCGTACGGACCTAATTTACGCTGTATTAACAAGTAAATGTCGGTCGATCGCAGCACCCTCATAATACTCAGACCACTGGCCGTAGTTTAACGACATTTACAGGAAGAGATTGGTCCATAATTTTCTAGACCCACACCAAACAACCCGACCAGACTCGCGCAGAACAGATTGACCCTAACCCACTAAGCCACGCCGATCGTCCTTAAATATTCGCAACGCAACACTCGTTTGATACAGATCAGTAATTAAAATTACGAAGTAGGTACATACTTACAAATAGTAATTAAGCATTTGAAATATCTCAAGCCAAACAATCACTAGAGTTTAAAAGTCGACTAACTTACAAATGGATCAATTGAATTATTATTAAAAAATTATTCATATACATATATTAATTAACTAACAGTCCTGAACTGTTTTTCGTTAATAAAGCGTTATCAGGCGGTTTACATGTACTATTATTCTTTTACTAAGTTGTGAACTAATTCCATTGGGGCATGAGGACAAATTCTCAATTTCTATATAAAGATATAGAAAGGATGGTGGTGCCTCTTCGTGCGATCTCACAATATGTCCGTCTTATCACCAATACCTAGTTACCCTAACTGGTAAGTCTTACAGGTTTGATTCTTATTAGATAATGTTACAATCGTGAACACGTCTTTTTTTTTTTTTTTTTTCCACAGGAGAAAATCGCCGGATCCCCACCCGCGCGGCAGGTGGGGTATGTGGGAGTTGAACCTCACTAAAAACTCCTGCCGCTCACAACCGGCGCCCTACCTCGGACCGGGCCGGAGCCCAGTCGGGGCTATTGAAACGGCGGGACAGGGTTGACGCAGAGCACATTACATCCATCCCACCGTCCNGGCCTAGCATTCAAGACGGCTCCAGAAGGGAGCCATCTCCCGCTTCACGCACCCTTTGTCCAGCAAAGGTGGGAAAACGGGAACACGGTGTGCAGTCCTCTTTGTTCACGGCACCCCTGTGCAGACAACGCTGCTCCACGGTATCGGGGTGCACGCTTAAGCCCCACCGCCGCGACAAGGCGAGACCACGTTCGGTGGGGGTGAACACGTCTTAGGTGGTTATTTCCTTATAAAAATGGCTTGAACCGTGCGTCCCTTAATAATAGTACACTGCTAGTGTTATCTCTTAAGCTACACAGAATTTTTAAGGGCGGAACTGACTCGCGATAGAAATACGAGCAGAATATCGATAATACCCAAGAACCCATGCGAAATTATGACACCATAAAAAAATTAAACATCCAAACATTAAAAATACAATGTAAGCGTTATTACCGAATTGAAAGTGTTACGTGATCATCATTGAGCATTCAAAGCGAGTATCGTGTGAGCACGATACTATTTTCACTATTGTAACAGTTACAAGAGACTAGCAATTACCACACGTGGTCAGAAAACATGTACACGTATTATCAATACGCACTAGAGTTTTATTAAGACGCTTTTAACTTTGCGTTAATAGTATTGTTTAAGAACAAACTCACTACTCTGGCTAGGGAAGCGGATAACGAAATTCCTAGACGCAATAAAAGATATCAATATAAAACCTTGATTTTTTTTATTGCTTATTTGGGTGGACGAGCTCACGGCCCACCTGGTGTTAAGCGATTACCGGAGCCCACGGACATCTTCAACGTAAACGCCGCCACCCACCTTGAAACACGAGTTCTAAGGTCTTAGTTTTTACAATACAACCGCTGCCTCACCCTTCAAATCGAAACGCATTACTGCTTTGCGACAGAAATAGGCAAGGTAGGTGGTACCTACCCATGCGGACACACAAGACGTCCTACCACCAGTTAATTTTTATTGCGTATAAGCTCACTGCTCTACCAATGTCAAGTGGTTACTAGAGCCCACAGACATCACTAGACACACTTTGAGACTGTCTCGATTACATAATTTTTACGAAAATTATAGTTTTTTGCGAGTTTGATTTTTATTGCGAAAAGCTATTCTTGTACCATGGAAGTCAATCGCGAACACATCTTAATAACTTACTTACTGACTTAATTTTAGTGCATGCAGATAAGTTTAAACAAATACAATTATAATAACGCTATACAAAAATTAATATAAGGAGGCATTGTTTTTATAAAAATACGGGCTTAAACGGGATTCATTTTCTGATAAGTAAGCTGTGTGTCACAAATAGCGCCTGTGCGAATATATACTTTATAGCTACTGATTTAGAATTCTTCACAGCGATAAAGATTGGACCGGACATTGTACAGAAATATCCATTAATGTTGCAGTGCATAGAAATAGCAGGCTTTTTGTATAATGCCAACCGCGTATTGTAAGTCCAAACGGGATACTTTTAACCTGACGATGTCCATCTTGAATCCTTCGTGCGTTCTAGCTTTCAGAGTGAAATAACCACAATATTATCGTCACCAGTTTATAATTAGCACCAGGTCTGCCGTGAACTCGCGCTTTACCCCGCTTCGTAATTATGTAACAGGTTTCGCGAGGTCTGAAGTGAAGCATCAAGATCACTCCAAAAAATCAAAATTATACCATTCATTTTACAATATTACCTTATTTCAATATTAAACCTGCACTTGTTTAATTTCAAAATAAGCTGAATTATGTTAAGTATAGAGCCATATAATGTCTAAGAAAGTGGCCAATAGAAATGTTTGGAAGTGAAGTATCACACAATAACAATTAAAGAACTGATCACTGAATTGTACTTATTGTCATTTGGGATGAACAATTAATTCACTGCACGGTTTGAAAAGTGCTTAATTTAAAAAAAAAAAAACTGTAACCAACTACTCGATGGAATTCAAAGATAAGCCGGAAATGGCTAAGTACATCTTCACCCTCTGCTCTCAAAAACTTATGGATAGCGCCTCCAGAGATTCCAAAGCGTGCGTTGACAGTCGGAGACGATGCGTGTCTAAAAGAGAAGCATAGTTTGAACTAAGCTTAATTCTGTGGCACAAACGACCAAAGTTTCAGTTTATTTTTAAATTAATTAAGAATATTAATTATATTTTAGTATGCACTAAAGGAGACTTGTTCAACTGAATACAGCAATTCTCTTCTCCTTGGTGCCTCTAGTATATTCTATCAGACACAGGAGTCAGGTTACAACAACGACTGAAAATAACTAGACAAAAAATCAATGTACAGAATCACCCAAATACCTTCGCATTCCAGAATCGGAATTACCAAAAACAAAACTATTATTGCAGCCATTAACATATGCGACTTCCGAACAGCTTGATTGATGTGCTCTAAACTAATTTATATAATATAAACATGACGTTCAGTTAAAAAATTTCACAATAAAAACTAAAGGCGAACAAGTTTCCCGCGTATTCATCGCCGGCCATTCGTCGACGAAAGTCTGCGTAGGTGACTCGCGTTCTATATTTGAATATCGCGGTTAAAAAGAATAATCAAATTTCGTAGGTACGTTTTGTGTTTGTGCCAGTGACATTGTTCGGAAAGATGTTTCGATTTTTGGTGAGTTCGTGTTGCCATTTGTTTTTTTTTAAAGTATTTGTTAAATTATTAAATTAAAGTTGTTAAATTGTTAAATTATTTGTTAAATATATTTTGTCGTTTAAAACATACAGTTAAATCAAATGATTCCCATTTTTATATCATCAATTAATTTGTCATTTTTTTTTATTTAACCGTCTATTACCTACCTTACCTTTATATTGTTTTTTTTATATTTAAATTTCTAAATGTAGTATGGCAAATATACCTCAACCATCAAAATTAGTGAAACTTAGAAAAATAACAATATTAAAAATTAGGAAGCGTGTAAGATCAGTTACTGTCTTCAGAAATGACAAGTAAAAATGACATCGGTGAAACAAATTTATTTTACGTCCAAAACGATCTTACTGTTGCTAAAATATACGTTTGTTTGTTTGTTCTGACGTGGACCGAGTCATCCCGCAACGAGAAATTAATCGACTCCTCAAAGCGAAATTTCGAAAATATAGTTCACGAGCCGGACACTAACGTGAGCTACTTTTATGCGTTGCGGTAACCACTTAACACCATGTGTTTAAAAAATAATAATAAAACAAATGCGCTTGTGGTGAACATTGAATAAATTAGCATACGTGAACAATCTCCTGTACGCTCACTTTATAAACGACATCATTCCACTATCAGAGAGTATGAGAGAGAGAGTAAATAAATGCCCAGTACCAGGGGATTGCCACTATCCTGGAACACAGATCTTCGATATTTGAATAGCTAACGCTGGCCGACGAGCAGATGGCCTAAACGTGAGCACTCCTGAGTGCCATTTTAAGTATAAGAAGTGCTCTGAAGAATTGCTCGAGATGATCCCTTCATATCCTTTTTATCATCACACCACCCGCCACCAAAGCAGTATCCTTCTATATTATCTGGAACAGTTGCATTCATCCACTGTGCGTCTTCAAAGATCTTTTTTGGCACGTAAAGAGGCAAGTAAAGTTAGCAGAACTGAAAATAAAGAGTCCTGATTTAGGTTTCTTCTTCGACTCCTATATGCCTACCGACATGTGATAAAACAATAATTGAAATACTCATTAATATGCTAAGACATATCTCTTACAGAAAAATATTACATTGATAATTGAAACATAGATGTAAAACCGAAAGGCAAATCTAGATCCAATAAAACAAATAATTGGACCTTAAGAAAACCAGTTCGGCTTTGGAATGAACTCCCCACCACAGTGCTTCCCAAGAGCTACGACATGTCCTTCTTCAAACGAGACTTGTGGAAAGTACTCAGCTGTAGGCAGCGGCTTGGCCCTGGCATTGTTGATGTCCATTATCGACGACAACGACTCACCATTACGTGGGACGTGTGCTCGTTTGCCTACAAGGGCAATGAAAAAGTTATGACTGTAATTTGCAAAGTATAAAGATTCGGGATATTTTTGGTATGTAGTGGCTGCCACTCCGTAAACACCACGATGTAAATCACCGATCCTCAGCCAGAAGGTCGTACTCACTTTTATTAATAATCAAGATTGCTAAAAAGTCCACCGCGCCCTCGGCTGAGTACTTAGCGATGCGCAACAGCATGTAAGGCCTATGAATATAAGGCATACCTCTATGACTAAGACAAGTACTGCTTCTGGTACTGGTAAAATGCGATGGTATCTTCATGCTTTCTGATATGAAGGAACAGCCTTTGTTACATGGAAATAGAACTGGAGTATCAAGTATAAAGGTGTGATAAGCGGTGGTATGATGTAACCCAATTGCTATTTAAATGGGTACCTCATACCACTTTTATACTTTAATTACAAGACAGCCGCTTACTTTGAAATATGAGGTCGCATTGTAACCAACGGTCAGACCGTACCGACTGTAATCGATATCACAAAAGCACATCCGAACGAGCTTAAGCATCTTGTCACCAATAAGTCTCGCAGAATTTTGGTACAGCTTTTGATGAAATATTTTTCTTGAAATATCGCACCTGTTTCTATCACAAAAAGCCTAGTTTGAAAACTAACAAGAACAATAAAATTAATACTTCAAGCACTCACGTAAGGTTCTATGTGATTTCCTGGTTGATCTTGTGGTAGAGACCCCGGCTACTATGAGACGACGGGCTCAAGGTACGGGTTGGGTCTAAGTATTTTTGCTGCGCATATTTCGCGCTCTGAATTTCAAGTGTTTGTGTCTCTGTTAGACATAATGCGGGAGAAATTCCCAGTTATAGGGTATTTGTTGTAGAGCATTTTATCTGGTTTTACGGCAAAAATTCGCAATCTTCTATGGCTAAAACATAGAACAGTGACGCCAGCTAATGCCGTTTGAATTTTATGACACCTAAATAAAAACTATGTATTTAATGTTTTTTTTCTTCAACAACTGAGCCGTCGTATTTCGTAACAAATTAACGGACCGCTTCTGCCTGCTACAGAAGATTAAATTATTCAATATTACGTCACAATATAGGCCAATTACGAAAACTTTTAGCATATTACTGAACTGATGAGCTTGTGAAAGCTAATGTTGCAACTTCTATTAAGGTAAAGTAGGATGAAAGCTATAGTGGGAAAAGATTGTAATATCTGTAAGTTCCACTGATAACTAAACGTCAAGGGAGACATGAGCTGAAACAGAAATCAAATTCTACCGCAATATGGGCGGAAAATCTACTAGGTTAAAATACATAACCTTTTATTGAAATATCTAATTTCTAACAAAGACCCTAACGAGACTATAACTTGTAAAAGGTCATAGAAAAGCTTAACCACGCATTGACCCTGCCTGCAGGTATCTTGAGAGGGAAAAAGTTCCTCTTCTCAAGTATTTTTTTTTGTACCGACAGCAAAATATGAATAATAATCACCGCACGGAGAGCACATTTTCCCGGAAGGGTGATGAATGTCTGTCCAAGAATAGCTCTGCTTCATATTGAATTTGGGCCTCGACAGAGATACTTTTAGGGTAGGCAGAACAGATGACGATTATTGGTGGTAGGACCTCTTGTGAGTCCGCGCGAGTGGATACCACCACCCTGCCTATTTCTGCTGCGAAGCAGTAATGCGTTTCGGTTTGAAGGGTGGGGCAGCCGTTGTAACTATACTTGAGACCTTAGAACTTATATCTCAAGGTGGGTGGCGCGTTTACGTTATGGATGTCTATGGGCTCCAGTAACCACTTAAAACAAGGTGGGCTGTGAGCTCGTCCACCCAACTAAGCAACCAAAAAAAAAAAAAGATGACGAGGCTCACAGTGACTATGTAGTGAGTGGACTTATAACTCCATCGCTCCCTGATGTCAAAAACAATATTACCAATTTTATATTGTGGACCGGCAAAGCTATCCAAAGCGAAATCTCAGCAGTCAATTTTAAATTACGAGCTACTTAAAAACATTCATTAGGAAACTAGCCTAGACTTTTGTACTCTTATCGTGCTCCTGTGTAGTTAATGATCACGTTTTCGAGTCGTGTAGGTACTCTTGAAGAATATCTATAATGAAGAAATAATTGAGGCGGGATATTGAAGTTGAGTTAAATCTTTGATTATGCCAGACAGTCCTGTCAGATAATTGTAAAAAGTAAAGTAAAAGTAAAATTGAAAAAAAAAAGATATTCCAAAACAAATTAATATACACTATAAACAATAATCATCATAATCGGTTGGCGTGATATTGAGTTATTCATCTATTTGTCGCGCACGTACTTAATGCAAATTTAAGACTTATATGGTTTTCTCATGTATACCATTATCAGAACTGGACTAAATTGAAATGGGCCCACACGGGAAACATCAGCTTTGTAATAAAAAAAAGAATCATCAAAATCGTTTCTTCCATTCATAAGTTATGAGGTAGCACACATAAAAAAATATAAACATACAGTCGAATTGAGAACCTCCTCCTTTTTTGAAGTCGATTAAAAATCCAACGAAACTAAAATGATTTATCATCTATGAATCCTCATTATCATACTTATGTAACTGTGCTAACTTTTACGTAACACGAACGCATCTATCGTATAATTTATGCTGATTTTATTTACGTAATATAGAAATGTATGGTTTATGCAAAGAAGACTACAATTAGAGTCACCTTGACACAGCGTTTTCTTTGGTTCAGTTCTGGGTTTAGTTGGGGCGGAGAACGCATCGTTCAACATTTTGGGGTGGTCGGATCATCAGTCAGCCGGCAATAGTGTCCTGGCTGCATCAGAATCTGCCAAAACTATTTAAATAATGACTAGTTTTAATTACAAACGTCCAACCGATTACTGGTATAGCTGTCTTTTTTTTTTTTTTTTTTTATTGCTTAGATGGGTGGTCGAGCTCACAGCCCACCTGGTGTTAAGTGGTTACTGGAGCCTATAGACATCCACAACGTAAATGCGCCACCCACATTGAGATACAAGTTCTAAGGTCTCAAGTATAGTTACGACGGCTGCCCCACCCTTCAAACCGAAACGCATTACTGCTTCACCGCAGAAATAGGCAGAGTGGTGGTACCCACCCGTGCGGACTCACAAGAGGTCTTACCACCAGTAATTACGCAAATTATAATTTTGCGGGTTTGATTTTTATTACACGATGTTATTCCTTCACCGCGGAAGTCAATCGTGAACATTTGTTGAGTACGTATTTCATGTCTGTCGAGTAATAGAAGATTTTTGACAAAAACATGATGAGTGGCATTTTCCAATTAAATTTCCATACATATAGGTTCCGAACAACATTCGGAGTGTCCGCAGCCTTTAAACACCCGCTTGGCTAGACAGTTATTCATATTTCGACAGCTCCTTGAAAGTTTTGTGACCTATTTAAATCAATCATCAAATTTATAGACCTTTTAAATGTCTAGATTATGATCGTTTAAAAGTTATTGCACAAATAATGATTACGCCCAACACTTAAATAATTTACAACAATTAGATTATGGTGAGATTAGAAAACAATGAACTATTAAACTTCGAACAATACTGTGTTCAGTTTTAAATTACGGGCTCGTAGCTGCGTCGTGTATCTCTGCCGCAAACTCCATTTGCAATATAAAGCTTAGAAAATAGATCTTTGAAACCAGAAAAGTTCGGTGCAATGTTGACGCTGATGCTAATTCAATAAAATAAGCTATTTTTACAAAAGTAAGTCTTAGTTTTATAATGGTATACATATATATCAGTCATTTGTTTTCTAACTACTTTAAGGATATATCAATAAATGGAGTAATGTAATGTAATGTACAGGTAGGGTTACTAATATACCTAATAGGTTTTTTAAAAGTATATTTAGATAATCTTAATTTACCTCTAGATTCATCTAATTCTCATTGTTAGAAATATAAAATTATCTCTTACAAGCTTAAGCAGCACCAGTTCAAAGTTCAATGAAATATATTCAATAGTCGGGAGTCCTCAACAGAGCGAAGTGGTACTTCACGCCTGGACAAAGACTTTTGCTTTATAAAGCACAAGTTCGGCCTCGCGTGGAGTACTGCTCCCATTTCTGGGCCGGGGCTCCGAAATACCAGCTTCTTATGTTTGACTCCATACAGAAGAGGGCCGTTCGGATTGTCGATAAATCCCATTCTCACGGATCGTTTGGAACCTTTGGGTCTGCGGTGGGACTTCGGTTCCCTCTGTATTTTGTACCGTATGTTCCATGGGGAGTGCTCTGAGGAATTGTTCGAGATGATACCGTCATCTCGTTTTTACCATCGCACCGCCCGCCACCGGAGTAGAGTTCATCCATACCACTTGGAGTCACTGCGGTCATCCACAGTGCGTTTTCAGAGGTCTTTTTTGCCACGTACCATCCGGCTATGGAATGAGCTCCCCTCCATGGTGTTTCCCGAGTGCTATGACATGTCCTTCTTCAAACGAGGGTTCTGGAGAGTATTAAGCGGTAGGCAGTGGTTTGGCTCTGCCCCTGGCATTGCTGAAGTCCATGGGCGACGGTAACCACTCACCATCAGGTGGACCGTACGCTCGTCTGCCTACAAGGGCAATATTTAAAAAAAATATAGTAAGATTCATTTAAATTCATTTTAAGCATTATGTTTACCATCCAAATGGTATAGGGATCTCTTCCAAGAATAAGAATCTCTTCTACTTATGCCTACATTAAACTGTGATAAAAAACAATTTGTAATTCTTCATGTAAACAATGAGTACTATGTCGTCACCATATTATACAATATAAGCTACATACATTAATCGCAACAGTAACAGGGTTCCAAAAATATCCATATAGAATTGTATCATAAACGCATACTAGACTGCACTAAAAGTATCGGGAATGGAATATTTCCACTGTTCCTGTCATATTAAAATCTTTTTAATTGAAAACTCCTTGGTTTTAAAAATCGAATACCATTTATTTATTTAAAAAAAGATTCTCGGTCTTGTCACGAGGTTTTGTCAAACTTGTTTAGTCGTTGAGAAAATGGAATTGACTCGAGAAAATTCAAGAGCGATGATTTATTATGACTTTCGAAGTGGTTTAACACAAAAACAGTGTGTTGACCGGATGATTTCTGCATTTGGTGATGAAGCCCCATCCAAAACCACAATTTATCGCTGGTTTGCTGAGTTTCAACGTGGACGTGTCAAGCTCAGTGATGATCCCCGTCAAGGTCGTCCAAAAACTGCAGTCACCCAAGAAAACGTTGATGCTGTGCGTAAGCTGATTGAGGAAGATCGACATGTGACATACCGCGAAATTCAGGCAACTTTAGACATTGGCATGAGTCAAATATAAATAATCTTGCATGAACAATCAGGTGTAAAAAAGTTGTTTTCCCGATGGATACCGCATTCGCTCTGTGAAGAGCAAAAAGCGGCTCGCGTTACTTGGTGCGTCAGAACTCTCGAAAGATTCCACGCAGGATCCTCAAATGCTATATACAACATTGTATCAGGTGACGAATCCTGGATATACGCGTACGAACCCGAAACAAAAAACCAGTCACGAGTTTGGGTGTTCGAAAATGAGTTAAAGCCAACAAAAATTGTTCGCTCACGGAGTGTTGCAAAAAAAAAGGTGGCCACGTTTGTCTCCAAAACCGGCCATGTTACGACTATTCCTCTTGAGGGACAAATAACGGTTAATGCAGAATGGTATGCTAGCATTTGTTTGCCACAGGTCGTTTCTGAACTCCGTAAAGAGAACTGCAACCGCCGCATCATCCTTCATCACGACAATGCGAGTTCTCACACCGCGCACAGAACAAAAGAGTTTTTAGAGCAAGAAAACGTAGAATTATTAGACCATCCGCCGTACAGCCCCGACCTAAGCCCTAATGATTTCTATACTTTCCCTAAAATAAATAATAAATTGCGTGGACAGAGATTTTCATCACCTGAAGAAGCTGTGGACGCCTACAAAACGGCCATTTTGGAGACCCCAACTTCCGAATGGAATGGTTGCTTCAACGATTGGTTCCATCGTATGGAAAAATGTGTCAAATTTCGCGGAGAATAGTTCGAAAAGCAATAAATACATTTTTAAATAGTAATGTTGTGTCACATCGTTAATTCCCGAAATTTTCAGTGCCGCCCTCGTATGGCTCAATTCAGTTCAACCGATTTAAAAAAAAAAAACAATTAAATACTTATTAGGGCGTCTTGAGTATACGATTTTTTCTATTAATTTCCTTCATAAAACATTACAAAGAACCTATTTCAATTCAAAAATATAAAAAATACAAACTTTTCTTTTACAGATACCCTTAATTCTGAGCATAGCAGCAGCGGACTCGATTCAAGAAAGAGCGTCGCCGTACAGACTCAAATACGCCGTGGCGTCGGAGTCCCAACTCAAATTCGCCCTAGAAAACAAATACGATGACACCGGCCCGGGGGCGAAACGACCGGAATACGCTTACAGCACCTACAAGAATTTACAAGATGCCATCATAGCTTATTTGGATGACCCAGATACCAAACTACCGGAGAGCGAAAAAGCTATAGCCATCCAGAAACTATTCAAGAACCCAAATTACTATCCGAGACAGCAAATCCAAAGACACTATCCGAAAACCGTTGAGGAATATACCGGCTATAATGCAGAAACTGAAAGACCCGTTTACAAATACACGATACCTGAAAAGAAGCCTGCTTATTACGGGGAAGAAGAGAATATCAATTTAGGAAACTTTGAAGGGAACGGCCTCAGTTTGTTCAAGATTGAGAAAAGACCTGAGCCGTTAAATTTGCGTAAACACCAGGCGATCAAAGGCGCTCCATTAAGTGTAGCGCATTACACGAGAGAACAAGAGTATGAAGATCCCCACGATCAGTTCAATCCTCATCCGAAGTACACTTTCTCCTACGGAGTACACGTGAGTTTTTTTATATTTTTTTTATTGTTTAGTTGGTTGGACGAGTTCACAGCCCACCTGGTGTTTGTTAAGTGGTTACTGAAGCCCATAGATATCTACAACGTAAATGCGCCACCCACCTTGAGATATAAGTTCTAAGGTCTCAAGTATAGTTACAACGGCTACTCCACCCTTCAAACCGAAACGCATTACTGCTTCACGGTAGAAATAGGCAAGGGGGTGGTACCTACCCGTGCGGACTCATAAGAGGTCCTACCATCAGTGAATCTAGCTATGTTTTATTTTCGGAATGTCCTCACCGCTCTTTCAATATTAACTTTCGCCGAGCCCCGCAGCTAATTGGGTGGTTGGCCTTAAAATAAATGAAACGAGTTTCTAAAAGTTCATATTTAAGTATTGAAGTCATTCGAATCGGAAGTCTTCATGAAATGGCAGGTTCACGTTTTATACTTTAGTTTTATAAATATTTCCTCATTGGATGGATCTTTTGAATCGGAAACAAACGATAATTAATAACAACTTCGTGCTGAGATTGTAAACAATTTACCGATTTAAAAATATTTTCCCTCGACGTTACTCATTTAACAATAAGTGAGTATGCTTATTAAAAACCGATTGTTTATAATAAGCATACCGCTTACGAAGGTAAATAAAACAATTCCGCAAATTCGGATTGGAGGGAGCGCCATAGATAGTTATCTGATTGCATTTATCAGATAATGTCATATTCATATCTAAATATAAGTGGAGTCTTATAACCGGGTAGCTTAATTTGTTTATCGAAAATGAAATCATCTGTAGAAAGCGAACGACCCGGTCGGCTGTGAGGATTACAACATACGACCTTCTGAAATTTGGCCTAGTTTCTACATTCTACCAATATCATTTCTTGGAAAGCCAGTACTGAATGTAGTATAGAATCTGAATGGATTTTAGAGGCAGATGAGCATGTATCCCGTAACGGAAGTTATTGATGTAAATTTATTTATATGAAGAATTGTATTGGAACATAAATGATCCTGCTTCTTAACATAGCAGCGGGTCTGTGTTATTGATCTACTGCGGTGAACAAAGTGACCTGACTCTATACCCGTAGAAATAATCATTAACAACGACTGTCATACGTGAAAACATGCATAGTGCCTTCATCTTGAGAGACAGTAAATGCCGCAAAAACTCGCGCCATTCCTACACACGGTCAAAGACAAGGTTGCTTTCAAATAGATTCCATCATAAACCGCATTAAAACACGTAAACTATTGAAGCAACATTAAATTTGTTGAAAAATAAACGGGGATGATTAAAATTAATAAATATTGTGTAAAAAAAAATACATTTTGTAATGTTTTAAGCTTTCGCGGCAATTGCAAAAATGCAGGTAGCATTACAAAAGTAAACTATTCATTCTTATCATGACTTTCAAGTTTAATGAATTTCCAATGTTTCGGTACATAATTGCAACAAATATCTTACTCAAAACACGTATGAATTCCTAAATTTTTAATATTGAACCTGCTACCGCGTGGTACACGGGACGCGCGCTATAACGGCGAATGCGTTAAAAATCGTGTGAAGGCGTTGGTCTGTGACGATACACTTTCTAGTCGGTTATTACGCAGGCCTTGCGAATTGCATAAAAGTGTAGTTTCATTAGTACAAGTAAATAGAATAAAAACCAGCTCAGGGGCCACCTCGTTTAAGTGGTTTCCGAAGCTCATACTTGGTGCATGCCACCACTCACCTTGGAACATGAGGACGGACGAAGTCACAATGTAAAGGCGGTCCCATCCTACCAAGAGTAACGCGAGATTGCTTTGTGGTCGAAATGCCCAAAATGGCCAATAATTCTCTAAGATCTAACATGGCAATCTTTTGACTATTAGCGTAAACGGACCCATTATCGCCACTTTAAGCCAGGTTCAGATTGATAACCAGTTGTTCAATCACTGGCTTTATCTTTTTTTTTTTGACGGTTCCAAAAATAACTCTTAAGGTACTCTCAGTCTACAGTTCATTGACTACACTCCGGTAAGGAATTTTTGGAGAGACGTTTGAGCGGAGGTTATTTTTACGATCAAGCATACCCAAAACGCGCGTTGGAGGTTGAGTCGAGTCGAGTTAAACTCGAGTGAACGACTAAAGATACGGGGATAAAACTATCCCAGATACGACACTGCCTTACCAATTTCTGAAATATAGCTAGGAAGATAAGTGCGCGATCAATGTGGTGCAAAGTGAGATACCTCATCATGAAAACGAGCCACATTTAGAAATAAAGTGGTCTCAGTTATATTCCTATAGTTTATATCCATACCTACTAATATTATAATTGTTTGTTTCTTTGTATTGAATAGGCTCCGAAACTACTGAAACGATTTGAAAAATTCTTTCACTGTTTGGAAGCTACACTATTCCCGAGTGACATCGGCTATAATCATATTTGAAAAAAAAATAGGGATCTTTACTAAAACTCCAATAATTATAATGTAACCCAAGGTGTAAAAAAAATACCTAAAATATTCTTTACATCGCGTGCCCTGCGAAAACTATTGATGATAGAATAAAATAATGTACTACAACTTTATAGAGCACATTATTAATTACAAAAAGTGTCGCGACAGCATATGTCTAACTATTGTAGTTATGCCGCAATAAGTGTTATTTTATTTAAAAAAAATAATACAACGTCAAATTTCGTTGAAATTTTTGTTAAAGACCCGAGCGGAGCCGTAGCGGGCCGCTAGTACCCTATAAACTGAAAAATATAATCACTTTGCATTTTTACAACTAGTAACCAATCTACCTACGGCTGTTCTTCGACGCCAATGAATAGAATGGTTAATATAGAATTTCATACGCTACTTGAATTACAAAATTATAATCAATAAGGTCAAACAAGCGTACAGTAATTCCAGCAAATCGATAATGATACATCCGATTAAAATACCTAGCGTTCAAATAATTACATATTACCGTTGCCAGCAATAATTACGAACAGCCACCGCAGTTATAAATTATTCGAAGATTAGATATGACTTAATTTCTTTACTGAGTTAAAATATTTCGTAAATTTTGCGTAATGTACATTTGTTTGGATAACTGCAAGCCCTGATTTCATTTTGTTTGTTCTCGGTGGTGGAACTAAGCCGAATCAGTGGTAAAATAATTCCATTTTAAAAGGGCTCTTGAATGCCTGCTTGATTAAAAAAATATTTAAAAATAATGATAAATAATTCGTATATTTTTTGACATTTCAATATTGACAATGAAGAATCAACTATAGTCGTTGCTGCATGAGAATTATAAAACAACAACGATTCATTCTTATCTATAGTTAATATTATAAAGCTGAAGAGTTTGTTTGTTTGAACGCGCTAATCTCAGGAACTACTTACTGGTCTGATTTGAAAAATTATTTCAGTGTTAGATAGCCCAGTTATTGAGGAAGGCTATAGGCTATATAACATCACGGTAAGACCAATACAAGTGGAGCACCAATAGAGTCGCGGGCGCGAGTCGCAAGTATTTTAATAAATGAAGTTTATCATTTATATCATGATTGTATTTTTCTCTTTTTTGCTTCGAAGCCGGTTCCAGTAAATAAATTTTAGAAATCATTGTTGAAATATTGCTTTCACAGAATAATGTTAAATATGGAAAGTAGCTTAACGTAACCCCAATGCTGACAAAATATTTAATTGACTTAATAATCCGACAACCAAGTGAATACACTTGTATGTCTGTGGGTGATAACAGTTGTATGGCTACTCACTGTATTTTCAACATGGTTACAACAAAAATCTTGAGATTTGCCACGAAGACAGAAGGAGAAGAGAATCGTTGCCAAATCCTAATATCATTTTTGGTGATTTTAGACGTATACATTTAAATAATTATTAATTTGAAACATTATTTACCGAAATTGGTAATTTTAATTGTCGTTATGTTTACTAATTATCGGCCAGATATTTGAATCAGATAAATTTAGAATTACAATAATGTTTCATGTTTATCGGACATCTTGAAGTCAATCAAAATGACGTACAAAGATTAAGTTACATGCAAACAAACATACGTAAATCCAAACTAATTCGATATTGAAGCAGGTCATAATTGCACTATTCAAAGTTAAGGATAGGCTTTTAATCAGAGATAATGTCTAAGTCACATTTGTACAATAACGATTGTCCCACTGTTCAAAACCGGAAAGCAGGGCTTCGCGGCATAAATAGGCAGGGTACCTCACTCGCGGCGAGATCTCGTCGCGGTGCTGGGGAGAGACCTCTCCCCAACTGTCGTCGTCCGCATGTTAGAGGATCAGGGCTCGTGGGAGGCCATGGCCGGGTTTTGTGACCTGGTAATGGCGTTCCGTGAGGCTGAGGAGTGCGAAAGGTAGTGGGATCCCTCTTCAGCTCTTCAGCGCAGAAGGCGGGGTGGGCGGCGCGGGCGTGAAGCTCAGCCCTCTTAGGGACTATCAGGTGGCGGGTGCGGGGGCGCCCGGTGCTCTACTGTCGGTTCGATGGTGGGGCGGTGCAAGGTGACTCCTGTGTGCCACCCACGGTGTGTCTCCCGAGATGACGTCCTTCGGGATTTTCCCGGAGATGAAATCCGGTCTTACCATGGGGACGGGTACCGGCGAAGCCGGACTTTCGGCGCGCACTGCGGTACCGTAGGTCTGGTGTAGCCGGTGTGGTGGAGCTCGATGGAGTTTAGTCGGTAGTTGGTTTTGCGGGGCGAGCGGCTCGCGCGCCTTTTTCAAGGCGTAGTCTCCTGCGAGGAATTTGGGGAGGTGGAGGACCTTGGCCCTCCTCGTCCCCCTCTTCCTCTCAGGAGGCGCCGGAGTCCGAGATAACCCGGTTCGTTACTCCCCCGGACCGGGTATCCGAAAATGGATTCCCCAGCGTTAAAAAAAAGGGCGGTGGTACCTGACGTTGCTGGTTTAGAATTCCCTTAGAACCAATGTTTTTGCGAGTTTCAGCGTACGAGTTTCGTGCACAATATTCTTTCTTCTTGTTATAATAAATTTGTATCAGGTTAAGATCTTATTCTGAACAGTCAACGAGGCGATTTTACTGGACGGAATTGTTTTTTATGTGATAACTTCGTTTTTCTCCTTAAAATTACCAAATCGGCAGAAGCTAGGCTTCTGATATTCAGATTAAGGGTTATCTGTCAGCCAGTTAAACCAATATAAATGCTGACAATAAAAAGAAAGGCGTTCGCTTTCGCTGCGTGTTTCGAAATACCTATTTATATAAGTACTTTCTCTTCAAGTTATAATCAAATTACTGTTTTAATTTTAAATGAACGAGATTTTACTTGTAGCGCTTATTGTAATAACCGCACGGGTTAGTACCGCTATCTCACCTATTTCTGCCGCGAAGGAATCATGCGTTCCGACAAGAGGATGGGACAGCCGTTTTAGAACACAATTGAGACTTCGATATCATGTTTGGAGGTGGCTGGTGGCATTCACATTGTAATATCTATGGGTTCCTGTCACCCCTTAGGACCAGGTTAGCCATGAGATTATTAACAGAACTGTGCAAAAAGAAGTCATTAAAAATTACTGCTGGATTGATCATTATTTTAACGTCCTCAATCAATCTTATAGTCTGTTAATCAGAAGATAGTGAGATATGACCTAACCGAAAACCTAACTTCCACGACCTACTGATTCGACTTCTCCACTATCCATGACAGCAACGGTACCCGGGCCTATTAACCGAACTTCGTAAATGGTACGTGAAGAAGCGGTAGGCCCCTGCAAGTTAACGGATACACTGCCACCACTCTGCCCACAGTGTCGCGAAACAATCATGTGTTCCAGTTTGAATATTTCAAGGTGATTGTGATGCTTATTAGCTTCAATCTGAAGGGTTAATTCTGAAGAGTCTACTCACAATGCAACAGTAGTTACAAGTAATTATAAGAATCAACGGGGCGCACGTTTTCTCAATTCAATCAACGAAACATACCATACATGCACCATTAACCTTCTCTTAGGCATTTCACAGTGCTATTTTTGGATTGTATCTGTTTAAATATCCTTGTGGATCTACCCAATGTATGACGTGCTATAAAAATTTCTCGGTCTCAATGTCAGGGGTAATGAACGATGGAAAGGCGTTTCTCAACACACCACGGTCAAGTAGTACATACGTTATTGAAGGCGTGTTGTAATTCCATTCATATTTGCTCGAATTCTTTACAGTCAATGCCCGTGGGCTTTATGCGTGGAATGAGAGTTCGCAGGCTTGAGACGTTTGCAACGGACTTTTCGTTGTTTTTATTACACATTGTGAAGTTTTTATGCGAATGCCCATCATTTCCTAACGTTACCAATGTAATAACAGTGTTAATGACGTGGCCGACGGTTGCGTTTGTACCATTTGCTCGTAGAACTTAGAGTATCAAGACCTATCCACAACAAAAAATGTAAAACTTGGTACATTTTCAAGGTACTTTGCACGAAAACCGGTTAGAAGGTTTGAAACGTAGGAATGTGATTCCAAACTTCCGACTTCACGTGTTGAGATAATGTCCAATGGGTTATTTTCTGTTCCTGGTTAACCAACGCAAATTCAGACCGCGGCGCCATAATCCTTTACTGTTTAGTTGATGCCGAGATGCTGATAAAAGACCGTAATTTTTGGCTCCTCATCAATATTGTGTAGCCCCCGTCTGAAACCCAGCTAAGTACCTTGAAGATCTCCAATTAATCAACAATCATCAGTACGGTACATAATATACCGCTAGTTATCTTTTTGAGCATCTAGCTCTACGGTGAACTGAGATCTCTCTATGATTTTTTTTTGTCCTTGTAAGAAGACGAGCTGACGGCCCACCTAATGGTGAGTGGTTACCGTCACCCACGGACGTCAGCAATGCAAGGGGTACAGCTCCACTGCTTACTAACAACTAAACTTAATATCGCATAGACCTTCAAAAGAGTTTCGCATGAGACACTTCTTGAAATCGCCAGCTTACGGGATATATTATGATGAGATGTTATGATATCGTATTCAGCATTGTATTTACATAATATTATTACATTTAATACGAGATCTTAACTCTTATAATCAACCTTAGTAATTACTACATGCATGTACGCACGCGTTACCAAAAACAACCTTGACTAAGCAATAATGATCCTAAACTCTCTACAACTTAGGTACATTTTACAAAAAGATTTACCAAGGTCAGGAAATGTATGTAGATTTTTTTTTGCGAGTGCTCTATTTCTGTATCAATTATTATTTGACAGGATTCCGAACAGTCATGTCGACGAGGAAGTGAACAGATCCAGTTTTTGTGTATAATCTAGTCGCTTGCATTTACAGCTGCTAGCAACCGGCCTGACCTTTGTATGGCTGGTTGAATGTTTATTTATTTATTTATTACACTTCATGTAAAATTTACATTGGCGGACTTAATGCCTAAGGCATTCTCTACCAGTCAACCAAAGGTAGTGCAGAGTAAATAGTGGTAGGTGCAATGAAATTTATATTAGGTTACGAATACATCAAAAAAAAAGTTTATCTACATATATATAAAACACATATACATATACAGACATACATACATATATACACACATACATACATATAATAGTTTATACAGTATTAAAAGGAATATATTAATAAATTTCCTTAACAAATAACTTCATCTTAATAAGTTCATGAGGATTCCGCTAACTTTTCCAACAGCATTCGCCGAACCCTTAACTTGAACGTGCAGCGGTTAGTAATAGTAATGTTCAGTTTCAAATTAAGTTGTTTCAGAGTAGAGACTTCGAGTGTCTATCTTAATGAGACGCGGGACATTCAGACAGATCGAAAACATTTATTTAAATTATTATACATTTGTTATAAGATTTTGAGACACATTTTGATGATGCCTGGTAGTTTCCGGAAAACGTAGAGATCACAACGTGAATTTTACCTCATTATTTTGGACTTGAAGTTCAAGTAAGAATTTTACGACGGGCCAAACTCTCGCATATATACATATATATGAGTAAGCAGTGAAATACATTAGAGATTTTAAGCTCTTGTCACAAACTGGACGATAGCATTTATGTAATGACCTCTCTTGTCTTCGGTAAACAATTAACATCAAGTAATCGAACTAATTTTGTAAATAAACCATTACAACTACCAATGATAATGTTTTTCTTCATTTCCAGGACAAGAAGACGGGCGACACAAAATCAGCCCACGAAACCAGAGAAGGAGGTACCGTCCACGGATATTATAGTTTCTTAGACGCCGATGGAAAACAGAGGATCGTGCACTACACGGCTGATGATAAACTAGGCTTCAGAGCGACTGTACAAAGAACTAACACACAACTTTAATTAACTATTAACACAAATTTAACCCGATCACGGCAAATTTAGTTACGACTGTTTTTTCTTTTGCCAACGAGCCACTATCTGGCCTAGCTGATTCAAAGAGGTTATCGGAACCTATAGACATGACAACCTGATTTCCCCACCACCAGATAAGGTCTCAGACTGTCGTACCCTTCAAACTGGGAGGCATTGCATCGTGACAGAAACAGGCAGATTTATGCTCTGCCGTGATATCCAGCCATGCCGACTTGTTTGCCCCTCCAGTACGTATAGCCAGATATATACAATATTATGTACATAACATAGCAAAATAATATATAATATAAAATAATACGAGATAATATAAAATAAAATTACAATCTAACGACCTCAGATTGAGAATTGTTATTAGATATGTTACGTATTCGTCATTATTGCCAAACTATTTATAGTATATGGGCAATTAAGGTGTCATATAGAAAGACTTAAAACACCATTTTATTTTTATTTTATTTATAACTTCTTATACTAGAAAGTATAAAGGCGGACTTAATGCCATAGGCATTCTCTAACAGTCTACCATCGCTTAGATGAATTATTTTTAAAGTTATCGTTTAATGTTTAATAATTGTGGTTGTCAGATTGTAATTCAATATTGTATAAAAAAAACAGTCGTCGTCCACCATCTTTGCCGTAATAAAATATTGTTAAAATTTAAAACTTAGTCAAAATGTTTGGGGTTTCGATTAAGTTGGTCGTTGATTACTTGTTTAACTTAAATTAATTTCACTTAATGATATTCGTTAACAAATTCCTTGTTTGGGAATCTCTTCTTTATTTTAATTCTCTCAATAGTTCCATGGTAATAAGCATTCCTTTTACTATACAGTGGCTGGGACCGCCGCTTCGCCAGTAATCAAATGTAATTTTATATTAAAATAAAGAAGCCGTAAGATGAGATAAATCTAACTACGTAAGATAATTGTAGCTGAACATACAAACACACGTACATTCTTTTTTATATACATAGAAATTTTACACACAGTATATATTGTTAATTTTAGATTGTTGCTGTCAATAAGTTAGTGTATATAGTTATAGTACGATTTTTTGTAAAAATAACTTCAAACAAAAATAGATAGAACGATAAATAAAAAAATCTCCGACGCGTTTGAAGCCTTAAAATACTCATTACTAAAATTAATTTTATTTAATAAGCTATTTACATGTTTTATGTTAAGTTTGGTTTCTACTTGACCTAAAAATAAAGTATAATTAAAAAAAAGATATACATACATGTGTTTAAGATCTTATTTGTATTAAATAATTGTTAAACATTACTGGACGTCTTGTGAGTCCGCACGGGTAGATACCACCACCCCGCCTATTTATGCCGTGAAGCAGTAATGCGTTTCGGTTTGAAGGGTGGGGCAGCCGTTTTACTGTACTAAATAAGACATTAGAACTCATGTCTCAAGGTGGGTGGTACATTTACGTTGAAGATGTCTATGGACTCCGGTAACCTCTTAACACCAGGTGGGCCGTGAGCTCGTCCACCTACCTAAGCAATAAACAAAAAAAAACACATCCCCTTGAACTCCCCAGTCAACTGCTTATAATGTGACCTTATAAAACCTTATTTATTTCGCCACTGCTTAGTCAATGTGTGATTTAGTCGTCGTGGTCTAAAGGTTAAAAGACCCGGTACTAGTATGCCACTATCCCGATGCTCAAATTCCGCAGTAAGGGCGTAGTTTTTTAATGAATTACACACTTAACACATGTTCACGAATATTTCCGCAATTAACGAGATTCCTCGCGTACTTAAAAAAAACTGGCTAGTGGTCCCCCGGTAGTCAAAATTCGACAATAATCAATTGAAATTATAAGTTTGAACATTATTATGGTTATATTGTCAAAGACTATAAAATATACCTCTATAATCACAGATTTCGCCAAGACCAACAATATTGAATCTATTCTCAATTTGACCACAGGCCATATAAAAAGTTCGACAATAAACCAATAGTAGGCATGCGTGTGTGTGTCAAATACATCGTAGTATGTGTAATGTTCTTTTTTTATTGATTTGATGTATGTATTTTTAATGCATAACTTAAAAAAATATTAATATTCTGCACTTCTTCTCTATGTTTTCTATAAGTTTGAAAAATTTCATATTCCTCCGTCCGCACAATTTTTGTAAAAGGGGTACAATATTTTTGCTTCACACATTAAGATATTGATAATAGGATGTATTAACAACTCGAACACCTAGTACAGCCGGGAAATATGTAGTCCGCTTTGAAACATGACACAACCGCACATCAACACAATTCGATCCTATCGCTGGTAGCCCAAGGGCTTATTGCAACTACGCACGGACGGTTGGGTGACCTCACGGGCTCAACCAGAGAGAATTTGCTAACACTAGCCCTAGCAAGAGCAGTGCTTCGCAGAATCTACCACCGGATCGAAATCGCGACCCACAGAAAAGATCCGACGAGAGACTCAGTAAGGTAGTTCTCCGTCCATGCGGTACAATGTCCAGGAATGCTGAGCGGTGCGCGTAAAACGCCTAATGAAATATACTAGCAATACGACACATACCACTGTGCTCGTAAGCAAAGATTTCGGATGGGTCATTTTAAAATATGTGAGCGATACTGTACTAGAGTTTCTTACACCCGACCCTGATATCCTGAAGCTAGCTTAAATGAATGATTATACTTTATAGCGCAACAAAAGTTTTAAAGAACATAAATACCTACTATTACTACTTTCAGAGTATTAAGTGGCAGGCAGCGACTTGGCTCTGCCCCTGGCATTGCTGAAGTCCATGGGCAACGGCAACTACTGACCATCAGGTGGGCCGTATGCTCATCTGCCTTTTTTTTATTGCTTAGATGGGTGAACGAGCTTACAGCCCACCTGGGGTTAAGCGATCACTGGAGCCCATAGACATCTACAACGTAAATACGCCACCCATCTTGAGATATAAGTTCTAATTTCTCAGTATAGTTACAACGGCTGCCCCACTCTTCAAACAGAAACGCATTACTGCTTTACGGCAAGAATAAGTAGGGTGGTGGTACCTACCCGTGTGGACTCACAAGACTTCCTACCACCACCTATACATATTTCTCTACCACCCTTCAAAGCGTGCCGCAAGACTATCCGCGGAAGGAACAGACAAGACCATGGTACCTACTCGCGGTGGTGCCCAATACTCCCACCATCTCCGATTACGCAAATTGATACTTTTAAGTGGATTTTATCCACACTCACTGCCTACTTGTTGCTAAGCGGTGACAATCTGACGGCTTGGGGACATACCAAACTGCCCGAGTAAAAATCGGAATGGACTGGACAATCATGAAATGACAAATTATTTCAATACAACCGAAGCTCCAAAGTTCAACCGACAAGACACTTAAGATCGGTATCGGTAACAGCGCTCAGGTAATCCCATATTTTTGACAGTCAAATCCCTTAACAAAAGATCTCTGGGTTCAGTAGCAGCACATAATAGGATTACGAAACATTTGTATGTTATTTCGAAGTCAACATTGTGATTGATAACCATAAAAAACCGGGATTTGCGGTTTTTTTTTTTGGAACTCTTATGGCCATTGGTATTTTCAGCGGAACTTTTATGTAGTTTCGAATAGATTAATTATGTATGTACTTATTCATAGTGCATAATATCTACATATACAGGTCAAAGAGTTCAGTAGATTCGATGACAGTTAACCTATGTACTCTGAAATGGGAACGAAGTTATTTTGCCAACCAATAGGTAGAAAGGCTAACTCTATGATTAAAGTGTAGCATCACCAATTCAATACAAAGAAATTTTTAGTTCTACGTGAACTCGCGATTCCGACCTGGCGGGAGATTCTGCGAAGCAATGCTCTTACTAGGGGTAGTCATTCTCTCAAGTTGAGACCGTGAGCTCACCTACCCGTCCGGGCATAGCTGAAAAAGGAAGAATAGGGAAAACAAAAGAAAGTCAATGATTTTCTTCTAATTCTAAATCTACCAGCGTTAGATTGATCTTCATCAAATAATTCTACGATACCAGAGTATATAAATATGGGATCAACGATCTTCCAAAAGGTTTGAGATGCACTGGATTGGCACAAGAAGACGAGTTAAATGAGAGGCTTATGACTCATAGAACAACCTGACCTATACAAGTGAAAAATACGTGATATTATTTAAAAAAAAAATCAGAAGAAGAAGAAGAAAATCAAAAAAATCAGGTAACAAGCTTTCTTGTAAATAAACATATTTTTTTAATATTCTATGTCAAATGGTTTTTTATAAGATTTTTATAAATGTTATCTAATTCTGGGCCTACCCTGTATTCCAGAATTTAACAAAAAGGTCTTGGAGGCATGAGCCCACGGACAACTAATATTAAGAGCACATAATGTGAGAGTACATATTGCAATCCACTGTGTGAATCCATTGAAATCTCAACTGGATTGAAGCCAGGATCATCTTGTTAACAAGAACGAACGGCATGATTTGACCTATGCAGAAATACACTAAGAAGTGGTATTAATTAGTGAGGATTCACAATACGCCCTGCCCTTACGAATAAATGGTCAACACCTATTTTTTTATTAGTTACTGAACAAACTTCTAGCCTATTTATAAGATCGTCGAACTCCAAAGATTATTTTTAAAATATCGTTAAAATATTTCATTGACTTGTTTAATAATGTTTGTGGATATTACATTTACCTGACCGGCACCTTGGACCCGGAGCCGCAACAAAAACAACGATCGCATGCCGTTCCGAATCATTGAACGATTGACAGACGCGACGGCGGCTCTCAATCTTTTTATATAGTGGCACCCTCCTGCTCGTATGCAGTATGGCAGTAGGCCGCATAGGCTTGGTGATTACGCTGTCCGAAATTTCGCTCTGACTGTAACCGTCAGTTCAGTGCTGCCATTTAATCAATCGTTATCTTAACTTCCCTGTCATCCGTTCATTGTTTACCATCCATCCGTTAAATAATCCAATACGCAATATGTGCCGTAGTACTGACGATCGCTGGAACAGACGGGTTCTCCAGTGGAGATCAAGCAACGGAAAACGTAGGACGCCCCCTTGGTAGGTGGTGTGATGACCTCCAAACAGTGGCTGGTAAGGTGGAGGAGGCTCTCCTCCTTGGCTCTCCAAGGACCGGACTCAGTGGTGTGGATTGGTAGAGGCTTATGTCCAGCAATGGACGACTGTAAGCTGATGATGTTGCTGATCCCTTAATCTTCAGTGCTGGTGATAATGATTTGCTGCCGCAAAACAAGAATGTAACAGATAAGAGCCAGAATGCTCGTTGTTATCGCAATACCCAAAGCGAACCCGTCTACTGCAATAAACCGCAGTCGTCAATACGTTTCACTTGAATTATAAAACTTTGAGTACCACCGTGACATCCGTTGATGCGCGCGACAGGTTGTGCTGTTTTGACAGCTCGCCATGACGCCATCACGAATAACAATATAATAAGCATTGAGCCTTTTGTCTGAGTTATACAAACTTCAAGGAACAAAACTGAGGTGTAATCCTTAGGGGATTTCGCGAACAGATGAATATCTTGTTTGAATTTTGAAATCTCAAATCAAATAAGCCTAAAAACGTCTGGAAGAAATTGCTATCAGGTATAAAATGGACATTGTATGGTTCTGCGTGGCCTGCCACTATAAGATTGGGTTCCTCCCAATCAATGGACTAAAGTTCGTATTAAATAGACGTTCTGTAAGGTTTTTGTTGCTTTAGTCAGGGAGTCGAATTTCATTGAAGTAACGACTATCAAACTGGAAAGAAATACTTCGCGTCAGAAGCCATCATTAGCGATTTATATGAGCCTAATGACTATATGAATTAAGTAATAAATTAGGTAGGAAAATATAGTAACGATTCTAACAAGCAGGTAGCAGCAGTAGCAGTGGCCAAGCTTGTGATTCATTGATCTATGATTGATTTCTTGTGATTGGTAATTGAGTAGATTATTATTGTAAGATCGTCTATACACACTGCATTTACGAACGTAAAAAAAAACAACAACAACATCAACACACAAACAACAACAACAACAACAACAAGTTTTGTCGATTTCAAATAGTAAAAACAATTGAAATACTTTAAAGTGCTACAATAGACATCATTGCTTAAAGCATTTACTTCCCGGCAAACAATTATCGCATACCTACTGTAGTTCTGGAAAAGACCATAGATTAATTCATAAGTCGAAGAACTTACC